GTATTTCCTCCCCACCCCTCTCATCCCTTGTAACCAACAAAGATTGTTATTTTTTGTGTGTAAACTTTCTCATGAGTTTTTACAATAGAGGTCTCATACAATATTTGTCCTTTTGTGATTGACTTATTTCACTCAGCATAATGTCCTCTGGTTTCATCCATGTTATGAGATGCTTCACAGTTTTAGTAAACCTTTTTATTAAGGATCTGGAGCTAGTGAAATAAATCTCTGAGTTATAGATAACAGTAGAATAACATAGATAGCAGGTATTTTCAGGGATTCAGAGATAGCATCACTTTTTCTCAAGGATTCCCTTGCATAGTGCTTGGCATGTGGTTGGCACTCAATAAATATTGAATGCGTTAATGAAAGGAGTTTATAGAACTGTGGGGAAGGTAAGCCATGCATGTAAATAATTATGATTCAAGGTAGAAAATAATAAAGGCCACAAAGGAAAAATAGATAATGTAATAAAGAAAGGTAGAGAGATTATTTTTTGACTAATGGGGATTCGTTTGGAAGAGTGGACGTCTTTATTAACCTGTGCAAGTAAAGGTGCATTTTGACCCATGATAATTGAGGCCGTATCAGTTAAAACAGCTACAGATTACACATGAGAATTCTATAGCAAACACTGTACACCTGAAAGAAGCCAGTCATTAAAGACCACACACTGTATGATTCCATTAACAGGAAGTGGAGTCTGGAATCTGTAAACCTGAAGAGACAGAAAGTAGATTAGGTGCCAGAGGCCAGGAGGATGGAGACATGGGGAATGATTGCTAATGGGTATGGGGTTTCTTTTTGGTATGAAAATAATCTGAAATTAGATAGTGGTGCTGGTTGAACAGCTCTGTAAACCACTGAATTGTACATCTTAAATGGGATAAATTTTATGGTATGTGAATTATATCTCACTAAAACTGTTATAAAATGCTCTATAGCAAATAAATCTTAAAATGGAAATCTTTGGAAAGTCTCAGTGTGTGTACAAAATGTTACTTATCTAGGTATCCTTCTAGTTAGTCTGCTGCTGTTTATATCGCTTCAGTTCAGCATCAGTATTTTACAGTCTTTTTTACATGGTTGCACATGTATATTTTATGTTTTCTTCAAAGCTGAAAATTTCCATTGTATTGCTCTCCTTGTAAAGTTTACCCGCCTCTCTCAGGTGCTGGACTTGGGTAGAAAAGCAATGATCTAATACCCAGAGCCTTGGATTGTAGTGAAGATCTGTATTCTAGTCTGGACTTCGTTCCAAGTCGCTGAGCAACCTCAGGCAAATCCCTTAACCTTTCTGGTCTTCAGTTTACTTATCTATGAAATGAGGCAGTTGAACTGAATGATCTCCAAGGTGTCTGCTGGTTTGAAAAGTTTAGTCTTTGAAGAAGGAAAGAGTAAATATTTTTGACCAGCTGCTGTATACATACTCTCCGGGCTAGCCTTTTAAGGTCACCAGCAAAGCTGCTGTTTTCTTCCTCGGGGGCTTGAGAGCTTTCTCAGAGCAGGCATGACAGGATCTCGTGCCCTCTTCTACTCCTCTTCCCCTTCTTCCAAGCTCTGAGGGAAGCATGTCTGTTTCAAATCTGCATTTCCTCAGCTCTGCCCCATCTTCTTCCCAACCCCTTCCTCCCGTTCCCCCTCTTCCTTCCCTCATTCCTTTCCCACACTTTACCTCCATCCTTAAAATCCTAAAGTGCAGATACTCAGCTGGTGGGCTAGTCCCAGGGAGCCCCTGCCATTCTGCCTGGGCCAGGAGTGACTTGATAGCAGTATGATTTGGGCACCACAGAATAGGATTGAAAGGCTCTTTAGCTTTTCTGTTCCTTCCTCAGAGTGATATGGCTTAAGATGTCAGACTGCTACTTTATTTTAAGAGTAGAGCTTTAAGCCTATAAGTAGCAATGGCTATATGGGAATAATAATAGTGGGAGTAAGGTTGAACACTGGAGAAGGTTGTGCTCCTTTTACATTTAGTAGACTTTCCTTTCTTTTTGTTCCCTGAGGGAGGAAAATCAGCTCCCAGGACACTGTCATCTTGGCCCTATGATCATTTGAAAGCTGTTTCTTAAACCTCATTCTTAGGGATAAGAAGAGCGCGAAGGAGAGCTTGGACTGATTGATGGGCTCCGACATCAGGAGCCTCCACTTCCTGGAGGAATGCTCCATCTCAGCCAGAGATGAGTCAGAGAAGGAGATCTCAGACTGCCTTCTGGCGGTGGCTGGTATCCACATCCACCCTGCACCTTTCAAAGCTTGGTGGTTGTCCATCCACGCACTGAAATTTAAACAAGCAATATTCGTTTAATTAGTTGTTATTGTGGCCACTTGTACTTGGTTAATTTTTTAATGGTTTCTGAAATTTACAGAATCTCATATAAGCACATCCTATTTTCAGAAATAAAGTCAATTTGCATGTGATTTAAGAAGATAGCCTTGGTATACGTAGATGCGTGTCATATTACAATAATCCATTTGTAGTCAAAATGTTTTATAATGGAGAAATGAACTCAGTAAGAAGACCAAGTCACTTACTTGTGTGGAGGTGGCCTTGTTTATGTTTCTGTAATGATGTGGTTCTTACAGAAGTCCAGGAAGAAGCAGCTTGGATGACTCTGGGGAGAGAGATGAAAAATTATCCAAGTCAATCAGTTTTACCCGTGAATCAGTGAGCCGGGGGTCAGAAACCGAGTCATTCAGTGGAAATACACCAAAAGAGGTTAGTATGTGATATCCCTTTTAAAATGTGTCTGTTACTACCATGTGTTAGTCATAGTATAAGACCAAATAACAACACAATATACAAAATCTTTAAAAACATAAGATATCAGGCTGCTACTTCATTTTAGGAGAAGAGTTTTAAGTCTACAAGTAGCAACAATTACATGGGAGTAATGTGTGGTTTTGTTCTGAGCTGGATAAGGTACAGACCTACCACAGAGTTCCCTGAGTATCAGTCTATAAGGGGGATAAACATCATTAAAAGCATAACAAGATGGAGAAATTCGTTGTTAGCAGCACTCTTCCTGGGGCAAGTAGTGTGAGTGGTGGAAGGAATCTGCTTTGAAGAATGAGACGAGGCCTCTGAGCAGCATGCTTCAGTAACAATAAGGCCCCAAAAACCTGTTGTTGTCAAGTCGATTCTGACTTATAGCAACCCTATAGAACAGGGTAGGACTGCCCCATAGGGTTTCCAAGGAGTGACAGGTGGATTCAAACCACTGACCTTTTGGTTGGCAGCCATACTCTTAACCACTGCACCACCAGGACTACTCAGTAACAAGAGGTGCTTCTTAATTGAACTGCCATCTAAAGCAGGTGGGTCCAGTTAACTTCTGAGCTTTTTGGTTAGTTAGTTACTTAGTTTCTTCCTCTATTTTTTTTGGTATCACTGTGAGCCTGTAGATTTTTATTTCAGTGAATTTCAGTCTTGTGGAGTCATTCTATTTGCCACTCAGTTTACCCATCTTTGCCAACGGGAACCTTCAGTTCAGCTCCTCTGTCCTTTTGAAATGACTAGTAGTCCCTGATGGCTTCCTTTCTTTCTGGCACAACAATATGTCCCAGGCACATTTTGTACACTTTCTACCCCAGACTTACAATCAGCCATCTTCTGAATGAGCCATAGTTCCTCTTGTGGAGAATGGTATTTAGAGACCACATTCTGGGTGCTAAGAGTACTCCTACAGCAGAGCTTTTGTTCTGCTCTTTGGGATGCAAATTTTGGAGCCAAAGCTGAATTTCTTGGTTTAGAGCAGGGCTTTGGAGCCAGACTGCTTAGCTTCAAATCTTACCTCTGTTACTTAATGACCTTAAATAAATTAACTTAATTATTTAACCTCTCTATGCCTTCTTTTTCTCAGCTGTAAGGTGAGGATAATACATCATAGGGTTTTTATAAAGATTAAATGAATTAATATATGTGACAGTGCTTAGAACAGTCTCTAGCACACATTAAGTATTCAATAACCATAAGCTATTATTATAATTGAAGGTGAATCTGTGTATGGCAAGTAATGGTCCTTCTCTGTTCTCCCCGTGGAGCTACCAGGATCTCTTTTGAGTAAATATTGGGGAAACATTGAAATAGAATAGATTTATGTGAAAGGACACCAAATTATCAGCTTGTTTCAGGCAACCGTCATCATCTCAGTCTGATTTCATGTTGTGGATTTCTCTAGAGCCTATTCATCTAGAGACATTTAGGGACTTATTATTACTGGTGAAGAACGGTGACTCTGGATGCTGATCTCTTTGTATCCAGTGAGAAGACCAGAGCACTCAGTTTTGGGAAGGTAACAAGACTGGGGGATGTCTTGCAGTCTCTGTCCTTTTACAAAAGCCTGACTTTGAGGACTGAGTTCTCAGAACTACTCATCTCTAAAGTCTTTCCTATGGCCTTTCTGAAATTTCTTCTGTACCTGCTCTTGGTGTAGTTAACTGTCAGTTTTGCCCCTCAAGGAAGTCACATTTCTCTCGGTGAAGGGGAAGAATGTAGAGAAATGATTTAATGTTTTAAAACCAGTCATACATTCAGTGAGTTATAGATGTTTTCAGGTTGTAGGATACAGGCAGTATAGAAGCTCAGTCCTCTTTTTCCTTTCCTTAAGAGCAGCATGGTGAGATCTCAGATGTCAACATTTATCTTAGGTCACTTACTTTGCTGCATTTTCACTTCCAGCAAGTATTAGAAATAACTTGTCCCCAAAATGGAAATTGTTTTTTTTTAAGTTATAAAATTAATACTCTTTGTAAAAATTCAGGAAATATAGAAAAGTATAAGAAGAAAATAAAGATCACCCAGATGCCAGAGATACTCAACGAAAGTGACTGTTTTCGTACAAATACTCATCTATCTTCTATTCCTCACCATGGGAAGTATATCTTAATTAGCAACAGAGCTCATAAAGTATGAAGCTAAAGAGAAGTTTACTCTGGTTAGCATCGGATAAAGTGACCTGAGTCTGCTAAATAAGCATGTTGGTTTGTAGTGTGGAACTCCCAGGTAAATCAAGTCTCGACTTTTAGCAGTGATCTCTGCTTGAAGAATCAATCCTGTGACTAGGATAGTCCATGAAATCCTTTAATAAATTCTGTCCTGGGTCCCGGTTGTTGCTCTGCTCTCTGAGTGGCTGACGGAAGCCTGAATCCTCCCTGGAGCTGCTTCTGCTGTTCAGTGCTGCACAGGATCTCGTGGGGCAGGAAGTGCAAGGATTGCTTATGTGCTGTTTGCTCTCTTTCATCTGCTTCTAACTCTCAGTCACACAGACAGTGCAAGGAAGTAGTTTCTGTACAGTTTGTATAGATTTCTTACACTGTCCTATTAAGCCTAATTATAATACTTTTCTACTTGAATACAAACATAGCAATGGCATTCATACTTTAATGCCTAACATTCAATTTATTGTTAAAATGACATGTCTTTATTAAACCATTCCCAGAAAGTGTGGATAGCATCATATACTGGATTATTTTAATGGCCAACCCCTTAATCCCTTAACAGTAAAGCCAACTGTGTTTTTAAGAGTTTCCTATGAAATTGGTTTCTCTTGTAATATCCTTTCTCCCCTACTGTACTCTTTTGTGGATTTTTCTATTTTCTTTTCCTTTTCTGTTCAGTTACTGGTCTTGAGAGATGGGTGAGCTGTTCCTTGAGATGATGGGGCAGGAACTGGCTGGGAGACTCCTCTCCCTCTCACACCCTAAAGAGCTAATTGCTCCATTTTTTTTCTCTGCCCCTTTTCCCTTCTGTTTAGGTGATTTATCTAGTGCTGTTTACGTGATTTATCTAGTGCTAACTGTCTATGTTCTTTTTATTTGAAGTTCTTCATAAATTTGATATTTATAATTGTATAAGAAGATGACTTTAGAATGGTATTTACTATGTACCAACGTCTTAAGTACTGAAATTTAGCATCATTGGAAATGTGATACAAACATAAGCAAAATGCTGTAACTGTTTTTCAAAGAGCAATATTTCAAAGCATTCTTATTATTATAGTTCTCACTGTAAAGTCAAAGTTTATAATCTGTTTTTTAATTTTTAAATTTTTTTTTTTTTTTTTTTGCCTCTTAGGGGTTAGGAAAAGAGGAGCCCCATAGTGAGAATCTGATCAAGCAGAGTCCTTTACTAACTTCAGAAAAGAGGTTAAGTAGAGTGCCATCAAAATTGCTGAACTTGAATACGAATGAGTATCTTTCCCTGGACAAAAGCAGCAGTTCAGATTCTGTTGGTGAAGGTAAAGAATTTCTTATAAACTTTAATAAAATTACAGTTACGTTTATCTTTTTATTAGGTGTCTACTGTTTAGAATTGTGTTAGGTGTAGTCTCACCCTATAAAGAACCAAAAAAGTAATAGAAATTACAGAAAATAGGAGAAAGAGGCTGCTAACTTTCGCCTGTCTCCCCTTAAGAAGCCTGGAATTTGAAAACCTCTGTCCCATTTAGCTTTTAAAATTCCAAGCCTTACGGTAATGGAGATGGAGCAGTAGGAATGGATAAGCAAACAGGCTCATAAAAACCTGCACGCTCGCTTCTATGTGCCAGGCAGTTAAGCCAGGCTCCCATTTCATACGTGGAATGAATGACCTTTGAGTTCATCCAAGTGGCGGTGGTGGTTGTTGTGAGCTGTTGAGTCGATTCCAGCTCACAGTGACCCTATAGGTTTCTTCTCATTTTACTGATAGGAAAAACGAGACCCAGATGGGTTAAATCTAAAACCATGCAGCCACTTGACTGCAGAGCTAGGGTTAGTGACCAGGGCTCCCAGCTCTGCGTTCTTCTTACTTAACCCCAACACTTCCCAGATTCTTTTTTCCTTTCCCTGTTTTTGAAAAAGACAACTTAGCAAAGACTGCTCCCGATAAGCCTGTTTTGTGTATAATTCTTAAAGCAAGTAGTGGTGGCGGGAGCACTCCGAGATGAATGTTAATTTAAATTATTGGGAAGCTACCAAAAGAGAGTAAAGAAGATCCTCAAAAATTCTAGAAATCTGTCAATCAGTAAATGGGGTTTAAAAAAAAATGTAACCCATTGATGTTACTGAGGAGACTATTCAACTTTCTGTGTGTGAAGACACAGGCTTTTGACTTTGAAGTGGTTATATTTTAGAATAATAGGATGAGTTTTTGAAAGCAAGGCAATTCGTCATAGTTCCGTACTTCTGAATTCGATTTCTTTTTACTGTACTCAACTTCCATTTAATTTTAATTCACTTTAGGAGGAGTATGCTATAGTTGAAATTTATTAGAAAGACAAATGATAACCATATTCCATATTGCATTAAAAAGCAACTTATTTGGTTTTAGAAGGTCAGCAGAGATTTAGCTTAATTCCAACATAATGAAAATATTTATCAGAATCATGACCCCAAAGCTGTCGGAATTTCAAAAGCATTATATTCTGGATGATATTTTTATTACATGTTTTGTATTGTAATCCATATAATCTATGTAAATATCAGATCTTGAGTGGGCTCAGCAAATAACACCCCTTCTTAACCACCAAGTTATAACCAAATTGGAAAAAAACAAAGAGCAGGCCAGCTAGAGATCAAAATATCACCTCTAATACTAAGAGTGATGAAGTTGGAGCCTGTGGGTGTGTGTGAGAGATAATGGGCTGCTGAATGAGCCATAGATTAAGATAGGCTTACCCACACAGTTGCAGGCAATGCTTGACCTCCACCCAAGGCATAGGAGAGATTGTCCTTGGAGAAGCAAAAGGACAGACATGTGCCAACCCTGCCCATTGTGCTCTTCCGTATTTCCTAATCATCTCTCGATGAGAGGAGTCAATAAAGGGGCAGAGAGAGGCCAACAGTTATCCTAATTCAGCTCCCTCACCTTGGAGGGAATGAAGAAGAGGCATCTCCACTGGCATTACACGTATCACAGTTAACATTAATTCTGCGTTAGTCAAAGTAAACCATTTCCCAACCATTTTATATAAATGTAAGTTGATTATATTAATGCAAGTCTTCCGTAATTTAAGATTCAGTTTTTTAAAGATATTTTAAAAACCTCCAAAGCACACGTTAGTTTGCTATACTGCTGTTAGGACTGAGGAAGAGATAAAAGATTTAGTATTTCTTGTGTTTCAGATTTAAGATTTATGTTATAAACACTGTAATTGTGTTACCTTCTTGTAACAACCAAAACCAAAAAATAGAGAGGTACAAAAGTAGAGAATATAATGAAAGTAAAAAGCAGTTGCTCAAAGACAACTCATACAGCAAATTGTGTTCTCTCTACTTTGTCAAAATGAGTACCAGTAACCTGGGGCTTGTGTCATACTTATTAAGTGGGCATTTTAAGGAATTTTTTTTTTGAAGTTGTAAGATCATTGACATTAAAGTAAGTGAAGTTGGAAGACATTGGGAAAGAGCAAGAGGAGTGACTGCTTTCAAATTTCAGGAAAGGTAATAACACCAATGGGTTCTTGGTATGTCCTTTTCCCTACTAGCAGTGCTCAGAGTATTAGTAAGGGAACATTATGATGATTTGGACCTGTCAGGCATGACTGTATTTGCTAGTCCAGTTATTGTTTGGGTTAGACCTTGCTTAGGGAACACTGAAGTCTCTTTAATGAAAACCCCTGACAACATATATAAAAATTCACCAGTTCCTAAAAGTCATAGAATGTGTAGAGAAGACAGTTGTTGGGTTATTTTGAAGAGATTGTTGGGAGGAAATTTTTTAAAAGGTTCAAGCGTCATGAGTAACCATTCACACTTTAGTATGCCGGCAGGGCATGAATTAGTTACACCCTGCCTGAATGAACTTGCGACTTTAGGAAGATCTATCCTGGCACCCAGTGGCCAAATAAGTAAGTGACGCCAAGACAAGGAATTGTTTTGGTTGGTCTTTCTCACCTGCTCTTTTTAAAGAATGATCGTTAAAAAGTAGTTGCATTTTTAAGTTCCTATTAAACTAACATTAATGATAAATTACATAAAGGATAACGGTAAAACTCTCTGTATAAATTGTGTACATATCTAGAAAGAAAGAATGATGGTGGTGTAGTTTCTCTGTTATATACATACCTAGAAAGAAAGAATGAATGTGGTATAGTTTCTGTGTTGTGTACAAACCTAGAAAGAAAGAATGATCATGGGGTAGTTTCTGTGGTGTGTACATATCTAGAAAGAAAGAAAATGATCATGGTATAGTTTCTGTGTTGTGTATATACCTGGAAAGAAAGAATGATCGTGGTATAGTTTCTGTGTTGTGTACATACCTAGAAAGAAACAATGATCATGGTATAGTTTCTGTGTTGTGTACATACCTAGAAAGAAAGAATGATCATGGTATAGTTTCTGTGTTGTGTACATACCTAGAAAGAAAGAATGATCATGGTATAGTTTCTGTGGTGTGTACACACCTTGGGAAAATGATTGTGGTGTGGTTCCTGTGGTGTGTACACACCTTGGGAGAATGATCGTGGTGGGGTTCCTGTGGTGTATACACACCTTGGGAGAATGATGGTGGTGTGGTTTCTGTGGTGTGTACACACCTTGCGAGAATGATGGTGGTGTGGTTCCTGTGGTGTGTACACACCTTGGGAAAATGATGGTGGTGTGGTTCCTGTGGTGTGAACACACCTTGGGAGAATGATGGTGGTGTGGTT